AGGTTTTTTTTAACACCTGGGGAATTTCTGCACAACTTTGCCACCTTAAATCATCATCCACATCCTACAGCATCTGAATAAACACTCTGGAGCTTCAGACTCTACAAACAACCTAAAAGACATCAGTGAACATAGTCAAGCAGATAATTCACAAACAGGGAAAATGGATAATGGCAAAACCACCAACAAGTATTAGGAACAAAAAACTAGATGTGAGCTTTCCGTGTGACACAGAACAAAGAAAAAAAACTTAATCACAGACTACCAAGGAAGGTGTGGCATACAATAAGGAGAAAACCACCCCAGTTTTTGTGCCACAGTGCCTGGAATACTTATTCTTTTGAAGAGCTAATAAAGAAAATAATAGTACTTTACCTAAGAAAATCATTGTACACATTGTACTAAACTTTCGTTTCTGACTAAATCAAGCCTGAGATCAATAAATCTATTTACAGATCTACCCAGGTTTATGTATTACTTTTTTTTTTCTTTTTTGACAGATACAGGTTGGATATTTAAGCAATAGACAGAAAAATAAAACAACATTGAAAAGAACTTAAGAGGTCTCAGTAATATTGAAAAGAACTTAAAAGGTCTGAAAAGAAACATCTGTTAATCACAGAACTGTCTGCAGGAATACAGCCAAGCTAATTACTTGAGTCATTCTGTAGAAAGCATACCAAAAAAGACCATTACCTTATAAATCACACTGATAAAGAGATGGACTACATCTCTTAAACTGCAATGGCAAAAGTAGCATCAGACTCCATTGCTTTCAGTCTCCTTTCAAGAACTGTGGTGTAGAAAGGTGAGAATCTCAGTGCATAACATTTCAACACCTCCTATTCTGCACAGCTTTTTATTTTACTAAAATTTGACGGTCTGCCATAAGCATAAAGCCGTGGGATTCACTATCCTAAAATCCTCCAAAACTACAGGAACACAAAAGCTGCTTCAAAATACTCATCACTTCAGAAGTCTTACCTCTCGAATCATCATCATGAATAGAAATATATGCTATAAAAGAAAAGCAGGCTTTTCTACAGGCATACAGTATGTCACTCCCTTCCACACAACTATTAACAGAGGAAGATGTTAGGAAGCATCAAAACTTCAGTTATAGCAACACATACACTTACATAGATGCTGTCTTAACAAACAGCACTACTATACGTTTCAAAGAGTGTGTTCTGCTAAGCTATCTGTTCTTCAAGAAATAAGTCTTCAGGTTCATTAGTCACGTTCTTGATAACAAATGCCTATCAGCTTCTAAATCAGCACCGGTCCCAGTGCTAGCTGGAATGCACGCGTAGGCTGAGAGCAAACCCTGAACTGAGAGGCAACCATCAAGGCATACTGCAGCCTCTTATCGACACTCTAGAACACAGTTTACTCAGCTGGCTTTTTCAAAATTTAAGTGAGGCGCTCATGTAGCATATGAAGAGCCACATATTGCAAAGCCCACAAATAACTAAAAATACTTCTTTCTTTTTCTTTTTAATCAATGAAGTGTTTAAAGACTTCATCAGATACAAGTCTTCTCAGCTCTGAGTAGAATGCATTCTTTCAGTGACACAAATGAGATTTGGAGGTCTTGAATGGAGACAGTGAACTACTGGAGGAAAAGTGAGCAGTGACATTTACAGGAGGTCCAAACCTACTCCCAGGGACTGACTTATTCAGTAGTAGTTATTTTCAAAGAATAATAGTTTCATGAACCAGTATGCGATAACAATTTACTTGAAATGAGAGGGAGGGTTCTTTATAAGGAAAAGCTGCTTGTGATAAGTAACAAATTCCAATGATGACTCTCAACAGCCAAACAAATATGCAAAGAAAAAACTATATGCAAACTGATGTAATAATTTCAATGGCCAACCTTCCCATGATGCAACAGGAAAGATTTTAAAAAAATAGAAGCAAAACAATAATCATTTGCAGAACCCAGCCAGAACAGAAATCTGAGATGAAAACAGCACTTTAAGAAGTCTGATAGCTGCAGCAGAAATCAATTTTTTTTTTCAAAATAGCAAAAAAATTTAAGGGTTTTTTCCTTAAGACTCAAACCATAGGTGATCTGTCATCATTGCTCAAAAGTTGCTCATGGCATCTAATTTCATCTCAGTTTCCTTTAAAAATATTAGGAAAATGTTATAGGGAAGAAAACAATGCAAGCTCAAATACTGTGTTTTACTTCACATGCGTTTCAAAACTACTTCACATATAGGTAAACAATTTGCTCTCATTAGGACACTTTGGTCTTTGGCAGAAAAAAATATTCAGTACAAGAAAGACTGCGGAGGTGGAGAGGAAGCAACCTTTGTGGCTTCCAGACCGTTTCATCTAACTTCAGACCTCAAGATAGGCATAACTTCGAATGAAATTCTAACAAATGTCTTATTTTTTTTTATTTAAAAAATATTTAGTGCATTCTTCTAACTAGACTTTAAGACAAACTGCAACATTCGTATGCTTCAGCTTGACTCTACCACACACTAGTTACTTTGCAGTGATAGTATATATAAATGTATGGTTAAGCTTTAGCTTTGTTCATACAACAGGGTTACACTGATTTAGCTACAGCCACAGTGAAACCACGATAATCTTTGTTAATGAGAAGGTTGTATTTGTTATACATTGGGATAAAAAGTTACCCATTTCTAACTGAAGTGAGGCATTTGCAAAAGGAAGGAAATCCAGTGCCAAACTCAAGTTTACAGAGAGCAGGTTTCTGACTAAAGGTTATCGGGAGCATGTGGATCAGCACTAGGGAGACAGAGCAAGCAGTATTACCAACTATCTTTGTAACGGTTTAGACAAACATTTGAAAAACCAGTTTGACACATAAAAAGAAGCAAAAGATAATCTCATATCTACCGGCAACAACTCCTACACAACAAAATTAAACAATGAGCAGGTGGACAAAAAAAAGTGAGATTTTTTTCATTCTGCTAGAGATTTGGTTTGTTTGGCTTGATGAAAACAAGTGGGGAAATAGCTACAATAACAAAGAAATCCAAAACACTGGAGCAAAGGGTAATCTGTCACCATTCAGAATGAGTTCTGGACAATGTTTCAGCAATGCCTCAAAAACTCAAACTCCTTCAGTGTGTTCTCCTTTTGGGAAGTCTTCCCTTCCTCATCTCAAGTGCCAAAGAAAGCCATAGCATCAAATACACACCAACTCAAACAAAGTATATGGCTGACAACCAGAAGCCCTGAATTCCTTTATTCTAGCTTACTAAAGGACGCTAACTCATACACTTCACAACTTCATTTTTCTGACGCCCAAGAAGTTGCACGGAGTCACATACTCCAGATGAAAGGCATACCTCTGACGTCACATGGATCAGAGCTATAAACCAGCAGTCAGACTACCTACTTTGCTACAGGACTCCTCTCTGAACAAGGAACAAAACAAGGAATCGCGGCCTGCGAGTTTCCCTGCTGTCTATTATAGAACCATAGGCAAACGTTGTCTCATTCGCCACTAGCAGAACATCTGTGCAGATATTAATGTAAGCAAAGGGCTATGCCTGATTTGTGAAGTTTAGATCATGCTATAAGCTCACCCTTAATAGGTGAGGGTCTGAATTTTAAGGCATTCTCAGAACAGAAGCATTTTACACCTTTATTTCATACTAATGAAGTTATAATTTTGTATCATTTACTCTCTAATGGGAACAAGACAAAGAAGGCAGGCAGACAATACCTGAATTTCTGGGGCATCAGATCTGAAGGTAAAGCAGCTTCTCAATTGCCTTCTATATTACAAAGCAGCATAATTTGTTCTAGAAAAAAACTATTCCTCTTCTTCCAATCTACAAATGAAACTGAAACGAATCTAAGAAAATCTATAACCCCAGGAACCACTACAAATGTATCCATTTGGAGGTGAAAACAGATTTAGGCATTTGCACATGAGAGTGGAATATGACAAGCAATGTCCTTCATTAAAACTGTGTGACAAGCCTACTGCATTTTTTCCGGGGGGGGGGAAAGCTTTAAACTAAAATAAAAAAAAAATTTAAAAAGAGAAAAAAAAGAATATTAATGCCTCAAACAATAGAAGCTGACTTCTATATTACATCCAAATTAAACAAGAATTTTACTAAGACACAGAGGAGGTAAAGTGGCAAATTAATAGGCAGAGACAAATCCAAAATTAAAGGTCAACCAGACAAAGGAGATTGGATGCTTTTTCATCAACAAGCCAGGAATTTAGTGTGTAACTACAAGCAATCAAAGTTCTCCCCTCCTGCATGTAGTTGCATTCTGCCAGAACAGCACGTTCACAAAGGAGTAGGATTTTACTCCTCTTCTGCAGCCTAAAGGTAAGTATGCTTTGCAACTTCTGTTCCCTATGAGATCTCGGACTACAGAAGCCTTACCTGCCACCACCACCACTGAAGCTCTTCACACTAGATTTCCTCTAACCTTGCTTGAGAGCAAAAAGAAATCCTGGATTTGCACGAAGCAGAGTCTATTACTCATCTCAAAGAAGTTTAGGTAGTTGTATTAGTCCAGGCTAATACAATTTATACCTGCCCCATTCCTTCTAAACAAGACTCACAAGTTACAGGAAAAGTATATGCAGCGTCTGGCTTATGGGAATGATGGTGCTTGAAACATATGTTCACAGCCTTTAGTGGAAGTAGAATCAAGGCCTTCCCCATTGAAATTTCAGGGACACAGTTTAGGTTCATAAACAAGTCTCAATACACAACCGAGAGCGTCTTTAAAACTAGGTCACTTAACTGATTTCACTGTGTGCTTGTGCACTGAGCAATCTTAAGCATTAGAAAACTCCAAATTAAGAAAACGTCAGCTCCAAAGTAAATACTCAAATCTGCAAGAAAGTTGCTTCGCAGGAAAGGCTCTCTTAAAGAGAAGGTATATCCAGAACTCCAAGAAATGTCTTACCAGGAAAGACAGAAAAAGTAGTTACACCTTGTATCAATCCCATGCCTATATTGTATATGTTCTCTTTAATTTTATACCTATTTCTTTTGCTATTTTGTAAGCTTCGTCTGGTGTCCTGGCAACTAGTCCATGTGGAACAGAAATGCCAGCCTCCTGCAACAGTCCCATGCTCATGTATTCATGTAGTGACAGACTCCTCTGTTGCTGTTGTTGCACCTGAAATCCATGATTACTGAGTATTCCTGGACTTCCACCAAGCACCTGAAGGAAAAGAAAAAAAAAAAAGAAAACAAAAAGAACAAAGAACATAACTATGCTGTGAAAAACTGCCCTCTTTGTTTAGGTTAAAAAAGTCTACATATTAAACAAGTACAGTTTAGCATACCAATGCAAACACCTGAACACTTAATCCTACACTTCTTGTACATTACCATTCCACATCAGTCATTCATGTCAGGTTTGGTACTGGGTTTTGTGAGGTTTTCTTGGGGCAGTGGGAAAGAGCTGGTGAAGCTGCTAGCACTGACAAGGACTGGCAGCGTTAAAACACCCTTGAGTACTTAGTATTTAAGTACTTTAAGGAATATATCTGTAGCAAAAAGAACTTTGAGGAATTTTGGAAGCATAAGAGAACAGAGAAAAGCACATAGAATAGGTTCGTTCGAAAGTTTTGGTAATTGCCTGTGTCTGCCAAACTAAGAGCTAAGCAAGCCCTGGGAAGGAAGGGCAACAGAAACTAAGTTACACCACCTTCAGTGGTTGTACCTGGTGAATTTAATTTGCTATGGACTATTCAGCCTTCATACAATTATCACAAAACAGAAAAAACTACCTATGACCCGTTTCAAACATCTACACTGAATCAGAGGGTTGCCAAAAGTGCCAAATAACTTTAACATTTCAAATGCCAAGTAAAACATAATATGCTTCATGTTCAATCCAGGAAGCTCCCATGTGGAATGAATTTTAATCTCATCTGCAAAAGTGATGTACAGAACTCCAAGAATTTCTGACAGGTATTTTGTAGAAAGTAGTTCAGGGAGAAACTGATTTTGATTATAAAACATCAGAAGTAGTACTACATGAGCAATGCCTTTTTAAAAAGAACAGCTACTCATGGACTTTAAGACGACACAGATTTCCAAAGGGTACCTTGTCAAATATTTCATAACAAGAAAATTATCAACAACAAAACTAAAAAAATGTTTGCTGCATTTTTCATATTTCACTGTAGAGGAACAAGACCTTAATTTTATACACATGTGAAACAGCAAACCAACTGAATTCAGCTAATCCATGAACACAGGTTAGCACTGAAAGAGTCAAGGTAAAAAGACAACAAACCAAACTTGGATACAAGCAAAATTTTGTGGGGGTTTGTCGGTTGGGTTTTTTTAGTATGTTCCATCGGCACAAGTACCACAAAAATCAGCCTTCATTAGGAAGTTTCTAACAGACTGGATGTTTAAGGTTTTGGTTCATTTTAAATAAGGTAAGCGTGCAGACAACGCAAGAGCTTTACTACAGCATTTCAAGCTAGCGGATCGACAGAGCCGATTTAACCTCCACAGGATTCCTTCTGCAAACAGGAGGCCTTTTCCTTGGCACGAAACCCAAGTGAGAGGTGCTGACCGCTGTAGCTGCTGTTCCTGGCGCTGACTGACCAGCCGGGCCCTGGGAAGCTGTGCGAAACACGAGAGGGAAACTCGAAGCGACCTTCCTCCATATGTGGAAGGAGAACAGAGTCGCAGGGAGAGTTACACGCTTCAGACCTCCACGGCTCTTTTGTTCGCACGGCTTTCCAGGGGTTCTGCAGCCAAAACCAAGGCCGTACCCCCAAAACGCAATCGCAGGACACAAGAGCGGAGACTGGGGAGATGCCAGCTGCAAGAAGAGTTTTACTGGCACGGCCTGACCCCTCGTATGAGTCACGGTGACGGCGGAGATGGAAACACTGGGATTTCCAAGCAAGTTAGGGAAGGGGCGGGGGGGGCCTGGAAAGCAAGGAAAAGGGAACCACGCCGGGAAGACCTGCCAAAACCCAGAACGGCAGCTGCGGAGGGGAACGTACGCCAAAGGCGAGCACAGGGCTGCCAGCCCCACCGCCGCGACCGGGCAGGGCAGGACGGCGGCGGGAGTTGGGATGAGGCGATCGCTCCTCCCGCCGTCGCTTCTCAAGGAACGACCCCGACCCCAGCCCGCCCGGCTCTAACCCGACCCCGCTCACTCCATCCCGCTCCCCAGAGGCCTCTACCTTCGCCGTGGAGGTGCCCAGAGCGGCGCGGAGGCCGTTGCCCCTCAGCCCGGCCGACACCCGGCTGCAGATCATGGAGGCCGCCATGGCCGAGCCCCTTCGCCCTCAGGTGCCCCCTTCCAGCGCGCATGCGCCACCACCGAGACGGGGGGGAGAGGGACAGAGGGAACGGGGTGGAGCAGGAAACGCTCGCGCGACTCCTCTCCCTCAATAACAACCGCCCGCGGCGCCCTGGGCGGGGTGGAAGGGGGTAGGAGCGACTCTATGGTCTCATGCCCGGATCGGCCGTGCTGCCCCCTGTCGGGAGGACTGACGGGGAGGAATCGGGAGGGGGCTGCTAACGCCCTTCCCAGCCTCTCGTTTTTCAACGGTTTTGTTTAAAAAAAAAAAGGTTATTTTCCCTCAGAGATCCTCAAAAAAGCGTTGTAATCTAGCCACAGCCGCTCTCACCCGACGTGGGTGAGCGTCAGGCAGGAGGAGAGGGCCCCGGCTCCTTTCTGCCACCCCCCGCCCTGGTTCTGCTTCAAAATGGAAAATTTGACAATATTTTTTACTCTGAGGAATTTTTTTCTTTTTTTTTTTTCGTATTTCAGGGTGTCTTCGTGCAACAACTCACACGCACATCCATTACTGAACCGAACTGAAGACCCAGCATTTCTATTTTATTTTGCAGCCCGTCCTCACTCCCCCTCAACCAGGCTCCTCCGCCCGCGACACAAAAACCGTTTCGGCCTCACGCAGCTTGAAGCTGCGCCTCTGCCTTTGCAATTTAGTTTGTGTACGTTTACCGTGGTGTACCTTGAGTCACATCACTAACGAACCTAAGCGGGGGACAGAACGTCTCTGCAGAAACCAGTGAACGGACCCTGGGACTCGCAAGGAGGTGAAGCTTTTTCCTTTAGAAGAAAACAGTAATTAGGAAAAGAGTAGAGACCAGAATTATTATTCTCACCAGAATGAGAAATGTCCTCTACCAATAATAAGGAAAAATGCAGTTATTTCCATACATTGTGAATGTCAAAGCTAGATCTGATTTGAAGGAAAGTCATGCCGGAGCGGTGAGTCTCCTGAGTTTTGTAACTGGAATTATCCAATAACCAGACAAGTTGCATTTTTTTGTTCTGAAACTGACAGCGCACTATCATAGCTTCTCCTTGGGCGAGTATTGCAAAAGGCGGAGGAACCACAGTTCAGTTATTTTGCTTCTGGTCCTCTGCTGTCCTAGTGTTATTGTCACCTGTTCGCAGAGCGCTTGGCTCTGCACCTCTTATGTTCAGATATGCAAGGTAGGAGGACATGTCACTGAACCTGTAAGCAACTGCAAGATTTTGATACACCATCCAAAATTTTCCACCACAGCTGAGAAAACACTTCCTTCTGCCAAGGGAGGGGGGGGGCGGAAACCACACTTAAACTGTGTGCTCTTTCTCTCCCCTGTACACACAGTGGCTCTTTTCTAGCCACCCCGCCTGCCTGCAGGTTCATCACAGGACAGTACTGGTATGTCATTTCCACATACAAACTTCAGGAAATCTCATAACTCTGGGACGCTCTCCAAAATGACCTCCTCCCTGGAAAAGGGAAGAAAGGGCATGCAACAAAATTTACAAAGACAATGTGATGAAGCTTGAAGCTTGGCAAAATGTAAAACCTTAAGTTTAAAAGCCCAGAGCTACTGTTCAGAGACAAGTACTGGCTGCAGGTCAGGGAACCAGACTTATATCCTGACTCAGTTGATTGCCGCTGTGAAAAAACTGGACAAATCTCTCCAGGCTTATAATTCATTCTTGCCTTTGCAAAGAGCTGTAAAACGTTCAGAGTACAACTACTATTGTATCTTCTTCTTCTCACTGTGGGTGACTTCTCCTTCCAGTTTTAAGCTGAAGAAGGTTTTTACCTTATACATCAAAAGAAGAAATGTTACATGGTCTTGCAATATTGAAGGACTTCTAGAAAAATTATGGCAGATGCTGACATTGTCCATAGTCTGATACACAGCTGTATGGAGAACTTTCATTATTTGGATGTTGCATTGTCTGATTTCCTTCTCAGCTGGGAGAACCGGTCTAACTGGGATGCGCTGTAAAAAAACCGCATGAATTTCTCTGCTTTCTGTCTGATCACCAGTGCCACCCTGTGGCTCAGACTGTCAGTACAACGTGGTCGGGAGTTAACGCAACTCAAACCTTAAAAACATCAGTTCTTGGAAATGACACATTCACCTTTTCTTTGCTTTCTTAGAGAAACAGGAAGAGATAACAATCTTGGCTACAACCAGGCAAATTCCTAGTGAGTCCAGTTAAACTAACTCAGGTTTGCACAGGCTCAGCCTAATGATTGCCATGAAAAGGCAATCCAGCATCCTTCCCTGAAGGTGCTCCAGCATCTCTCCTACAAGGATTCTGACATCTTCACCTGTCCTTGCAAGAGGTATTTAATGGACACAGTCTCAGGTCTGGATGAGTGCAGTTTTCTACAGGGGACAGTATGAACATTAAGCACCAGCTCACCGTCTCTCCCAGTACAAGAACTGGGAAACACCAGGGAAGGCTGGTAGGTGAAACGTTCAATGTAACCAAAAGGATTTTGTTTGCAAAGGTGATTCTTCACATAGCTAAGCTGTGGAGCACCTTGCCATGGACGCTGCAAATGATGGAATTTCACATGGGCTCAAGAGAAGCCTTGGTAGGTTTGAAGAGGAGAAATGAGAAGAGGGTTGGTAAATACACAGAAGCCACCTCTGCCTTGAGCCGTCACTGAGCCACAGATGGCTGTAGAAGGGTAGTCAAAAGCCCTGTCATGATTTCTTGCCTATTATATTCCAGACATTCACTCTGGACCAGCAGGTACTGTCCTAGATGGATTTTTGTCCTGAGCTAATGGACACTATATCCTTCTGTCTCAGTCTGCCCTGGTATGGAATACACCCAGAAGTTTCATAGGGGCTGGAGCACAATCCATCTTTGCCAGCCTATGAGTTGCCCAAGGTCACTGAAAATGTTAATGGCAGAGCTACAAATAAAACAGAATAGTCTCACCACCTACACTCATTCTGATGACTCAGTCTTGTCTGTACACAGCAGAGCAAAGAAATAATTAACAAGCAATGAAGACAGTAGAACCCTCTCACCACAGTACAGCTCTAATTTGTCCTATTGTTCTTGCATATGCACACCATTATTCTCTATGAATCGTGAAAACAGTGACTACTTTTGGGCTGACAGCTTATCTTGATGACAAACAGTACTCTTAATGGAACCAGATATGAATGGTAATTCCATCACTGATATAAAAAAGAATATTCCAGTATTAAAAGAGTACAAGAGTTCATGACAGTCAGTGAAGGTTATAGGAATCTTTCTTTTTTTTTTTTTTGCTCAGCTAGGCCGTTTCTGAAGTAGGATATTAAAAGCAAGGATTTTCTGTCCTATGGTAAGGAACTACATAATGTAGAAAATCTCATAGGTCTCATAAATTCTGATATGAAAAGGTAATGAAAAAACATTTTTTGGAGTTTATGTGAAGCCAGGATTGTGGAGAATGGTGCAGACCACAAATTTACAGTAAAGGTAGGGTCAGGGCATAGGCGAAGGTAAAGTAGGCTAACTTCTTCAAAATTTCCCTTCTGTTATTTGGAAACTCTTTCTTAAGTAGAAGGATCATTTGTGGAAATTCCAGTATTTCAGCTGCAGGTGAGCAGTCTTTCTTTCTTTTCTTTACTCGGTATTCTCCATAGCTTCATTGTTGGTCACTCCATCAAATCACTAATGACCCTGACAGGCACGCCAGTGGCACACTGGGGATACTGTGAACCCTTGCCTACTTTTTATCCACAGATTTCCGAACAAAGAAGCTCTCTAGCAGTACACTGTTTGACAGCCGTGGAAAAGGAAGAGACCAAATTTAGGGACAAAGCCTGGAAAGGAAGTCAGGCCACATGGGAGCTAACCAGTGACCCCGCAATGTCAACCCATCTTTCTTTTTCTCCAGTTCCCACTAAGTTCAGGCAGGCAAATCAAGTTCATTTCTTCTCTTGCAGTGAAATTTGGATAAACATTGCAGCACTGAACCATGAAGCTGGTCTTTAACATTGTAATGCACTGACTACATCTTTAGGTCTGAATCCTATCTCAACTTTGGAAATAAGATCAGAGGTACAGAGCTCAGGGTCAACGTTCCACAGCTTACTGTTCATCCTAAAGTAAACTGTCTATCTGCAGGTAAGAATCAGTGCAAGGCATTATCACAGAGGACCTGCACAAGTACTAAAACTGGAAGGTATTACCTCTTAGTGGTTTTTTTAAGGAGTTGGAGCAAAAACTGTTTTCTCACCCATATTCTTTCATTTTTCTTTATTACTATTAAAATACATTTTGTGGACTTCAGGAAATTCTAGATGGAGACATACAAAATTTTGAATCTGTTAAAAACTGAAGGGAAAGAGAAATTATTTGACATGCAATTAATATTAATTATCAGTACGAAAGCATATTTGCAATTGCAAAGAACTAATATCAAGGAAATTAAGTGAAAAAATCTCAAATTTTAAGAAGGCAAACTAAAGCAGTATAGAAGTATGCTCAAAAATCTAAAGATCACAAGAGCTGTTTGCCACATGTATAGAAGGGGGGAAAAAAGGCATGGATTTAGGGATCAAAAGACAACACATTTTTACAAGGGGTAGTGCATCTTGGCTTAACAAACTGTGTGACAAGCTACTGAATAGGAAATAACTCCTGTCAGCTACACTGTGATGTTTTACGCAAGTAATGATAGGAATATATAAAATATTCAGACATATCTTGCAAGGATCTGGGTTCTCTTAAGTTATGTGAGAGCAAAGAGCAATGTCTGCTTTACTGTTGTAGAACCAGACTCCACTGGAGAATCCTGTTTTATCTAAAATCTCCACAGCGCTTATTGCACAATATCCTAGTAGAAGATACAGCTACCAACTTCACGCAAGACTCGGCTTTGTAAGCATGGCAGCATTTATTTCTGTTGAATCAGGACAATTTAGCGATTGACTCTAAATGGAAAAGGCAACCCCCCAAAAATTTGATTTGGTTTCTGTCCTTGTTTTGTCTAAAGCAGCTACTCTTTACATTTGGACTGCCATATTAAAAAAAGCCAACAAATTAGATGTGTAGGTAAAATTTGCCTTGGCACTTACAAGTGTAAATCTTTGTACCCTTATTAGTAAAATGTGTATCTTCAGTGCAATTTCATACATTTTTTTCAGACACTAAGCTTGAGGAGAAAAAAAGGAAAAATATCAATCATGGAATTATGCTATCCCATGGGAGGAAGCTGTAGATTGTCAACGTCTCCTAATTACCACCTTTCCTAATGTTAAAAGTGGCATAGTGATGCTCTAGCCATATTTACCTGGTCAACGCAGAACTGCAGCTGCAGAAAGCTGGCTGGCCATCCTCGTGAAAAAGACTCTGGCACATGACTAAACTAAAGCTGAGTATCAATAAACAGCCCTGCAGAGAAGGGACAAGAGCTCCTGTCTTACAGAAGAGTGTGTAGCATCTGACTGTGGCAAAAAGACCAGGATTTTCACCCGGAAACATGGAAACTAGATACTCTTTTGCCACCACCACATCTCAGAGGCAGTGGATGGCAGCTCATTAGATCATGTCTCACCTTTATTGACTATGTGAGCAGTTTTTGACTGAACACTCACTTCTGGTGACTTAACTCCCTTGCTGATACTGCATATGACAAGGGCAGGTAGTCCTGATTTCTCAGCTGTGAGGCAAAACTACCTCCCAGTTCTAACTGACAGCATCTCAAGGAAAAGTAAGTGGGTAAATTTAAGCTGAAGGGACTGGAATATGCCACGTGAGGTGAAATACTCAGGTAGTAACAGGAAGCCTTTAAAAAGCTCTGTGCACAAATGGCACGTGGATTTACTGACACTAATTTGAACCGATTTTCATCCTTTGACCATCAAGCATTTTTCCTCCTGAAAGGCTTTTTTGTTGCCAAACCCAAATTGTATATCCCCAATATATCTCCTAGAAATAACTGAATTGGCTTTGCTGAAGTTACCCCCAAAAGTTGATGCACAAAGATGACGTGCTAGAAATTTACGGGATTAATATTTATGGTTTAGTTTAGTAAACCTGCAAAAACTAAACCCAAGGAATTAGAAACTGCTAAGCGACTTCAACGATACCTGTTATCTCCAAAAGAAATAAAAATCATCCACACATGTTCATATTTCTGTAGCACTGTATGTCCCAGGAGGCCCCAAAGGACTTAACAGATCCAGGCCCCTGTGATCTTACAAGCTTTGCCATCCTTTCTTGGCTTTAAGGAGGTGAATGGTCTTCAAATTAGTGTAGCTGCTCCTATCAGAGCTACTTGCTTCAATCAAATTAAAAAGTAAAAACATTATTTAAACCAAAAGGTGCAGACCTTTTAATAAATTCCTGTATTTTTGCAAATACCGAGTACGGGAGCTAGTAAGGAGCAATCTTACCAGCTGCCTAAACAGAATCATGGCACAGTTTAGGTTGGAAGGGGTCTCTGAAGACCATCTGCTCCAGGCCCTCCTCTTCCCCTCAGGCCAGCCCTTGCTCAAAGCAGGGCCAGCTCCCCGCAGGTCACTCTGGGCTGTGTCCAGTCAGGTTTTCAGTCTCTCCAAGGATGGAGATTCCACAGCCTCTCCAAACAACCTCTAGTGCTCTGCTACTCTCACCTTAACACTCTACTCCAGGAGATTCGCTTCAGCTCCCAAATCAAAGGAGTTCTGGCACTGCTTTTTTAGGTGAGGTTCAGCTCTCTGCACAGTAGAGATGCACTTTCCATCCAACTGAAATTGCGGCAGATTATCACTGATTTACTTAAAAAAAAAAAAAGTATTGCAGGATTTTATTATGTACATATGACCAGAGTTTATTTACATTTCAACATAAAAACAACATATCATACATTGCCTAATTTCTGGTACTAATTTCTATCAAGTGGTAACATTACAGCCAGGGGTGATTTATGGTAAGAGACTTGGCGATTTAATGGAAGCATGAGGTGTCACAGAAATATTTCTGCTAAAATACAAGTGAGGAAACAGTTAACAATGTTAAATTTTAAATTTTCAGTATTAGGGGCGAGGATAACAACCAGCTGCTTGAATGCCAAGTGAGGGAAAATCCATACATCTTCCAAGCTCATGTTTCAGTCAGCCTGCTGGCAGAATTTTGATGCCATGCACTGCTGTCACATTCCACCCAGCTTCTGAATGCCAGCTTTGCAATGTAAAATATTTAAACATAATCCTTACATCTTCTAGTTTGTACTTCTGCTAAGCGAATGTGAATATGTAGTAAATTCCACAGCCAGGGAACCACGTCCATGAGATTCTCAGGAAGATGGATGTTTTCTGGTTGGGTAGCTGCTTTTCAAGCAGCTTTTGTACACTGTGTGCTTTTCTGACCTGATTTCTCTATGTGCGTTCTTCTTAAGGAACGGCTGTGTTGTCACTTTAATCTGACATCAATCTGGCCTGTCACTAACATGGTTAGTCCCACCATTCTTGTTCCCAGCTGCTCACACTCGCTGCCTCCCTTGTGCCAATTCAATCACTCACGTACCTGAGCTATAAATCATATCAGAGAAGCCATCCTGCTGAAAAAATCATCTTTTTCCCAGTTTGCTGAGTTAGGTTTGGCTTCGTGCTGTTCAGTCTGACCTAACTCTGTCCCATCCACTCCATGTGCTGCCCACAGCATGCTAGAAAACAAATTCACAAAAAAAAAAAAAAAAAAAATTTTTTTTGGAGCCAGATCAGTTCATTCGTCCAGTTCACTGCACAGCCACTTCAGTTAACAGCGTGTATTGGGTCTGCTGTGCTTGGGCCTGAGAAGTAGGTGCCTCTCTTTGAACAGCAGCCTGGACGCATGCTAGTTTAAATAAATTGGTTTAGCCATTTATGTCACAGAAGTACTTTGTCAGATGAAATGTTAATGAACAAGTTTACAACAGCATACAAATCATAACCTTGCAAGCTTTTCAACATACTACTATAGTAGAAGATGCATTTTTAATTTCTCATTCTTGGCTTATTCTCATCTCTTTTCTTCAGTGGATGTCTGTTCACTATCAAACTCAGAAATAGTGGCCTGTATTTACTTCATAATCTGTGCAAAACCTGAGTACCTGCCCATGTCCTAAATAAATCCTAAAGTGAAACCGATCAGAACAGATTCAGTCAACAAAATGTGTTTTATTTTCATACAGTATTCTTTGTTAATGACCACAAACCTAAGATGAAAAAATTGAAACAATTAAATACAAACATCTGTATAAAAGCAGATTTCAAAACCTTGCCAAAAAAGAGCTTCACATCCTTGTTGCAATCAATAGGATGATGGAGGGAAAATCTTAGCCTACTGACAACTATTGTTTATAAGAAATATGAATAGTTTTTATATTCTACATAATTATCTTCATATATTTTACCTATTTGTAAGAAATTGTATCCTTCTACCATTCTAACAAGCACGATGATGGTATATTATTTTGTTTTTAAAAAGATAGTAGAATGACAGTGGGCCACCCTCAGACTTGTTTATAAGTGCCATTTGGTATAAGGTACAGGAAGATGGCATACACAAAAAGTAGAATGTTTTCATTAGTCAGATAAACAGCCTTGTGGTGTTTTAATATACTGGACCAGAATGGGCTTAGTGGGTAAGGAGGAGTCTTTGATAAGACTTTTGTAAGATCACTGTCATCTTAAAATGTAAATACAGAAGTGACATAACTGACCGAAGTTTAATCTGGAGATTAGGATACTCCAGCTGTACTGGAGGACAGATATAAATGAATGAGCTTGATTTACAGAAAGTCAGTTAGCGTGGCAATTTGCCCAAGATTATTATGTTTTTGTTTACCAATGTCAGTAACTCAGGGCGTGGGCTGACATTACAGCTAAACAGCACAGCCAACTACTGTCAAAGGGCAGGCTTGCTTCCAGCACGCCCAGCCATACACTCCTGACATTTCCTTCATGCCAGCACTGGGACTCATCTGATGCCGTACTGAGCCAGTTCAGGCAACTGAACCTAAGAGAACTAATCCCACAAAAAGCAGTGATTTATCTTCAGCCAGTGTGGCCCTGTCACCTTCATAAGTACATAAAAACATCTGTACAGAAGTTATTTTAAAACCTTACAAAAAAGAGCTCTTTGAAAGTCCTGCAAAGAAACAGTAATTCATATCTCTGTTGTGATCAATAGACTGGGGAAGGGGAAAATCTGACAAGCATTACAGTTGTTTATAAGGAATATGAAAGTTTGCATCTTATTTTCTACATAATTTTATAATTTAAAAAGTGTGAAAATGAAGGTAAACATTTGCTAGCAGAAATTTTGATTTCTTCTTTATCAGTCAGGAACTGTTATTCTGCCTCTAGAGCTCCACTTAGCTGAGTTTGTAGTTTCTTTTTTAATAATCTCAAGGTGAGTCTCCAGAGTCAGACTCCCTACCCAGCTGAAACTATGGGCCAACCTAAGAAGGGCCACTTTTCAAGTTCTGAACAAATGTGCAGAGATCAACTGGTACCCTGACCGCCACGAAGTGGAGTTATACAGCTTGTTTGTTTTCAGATGCCCCTCATTTACACAAATGCTTTTTCAATTCTCAGTCACCTCACCAGTCCCTTGGCATTGAGGCCCCCCCGACAGCATATTTCCATACATTCTGTATGGTATGTCTAAATATTTTGATGGTTTTAATATTTTGTACCA